AGCGTTTTCTTTTTGTCTTCTTTGTTATTTACCTTTCTTTTTTATTTTCACATTTCTCTGCCGATCTGCATATTTTTTTTTTAATGCTCTGATAATGTTCATGTATGAGTTATTGCATGTTTTTCTTTATTTGTTATTAAAATTTTTTTTTTTATTCCTTATAGCATCTCTGTCTTTGCTTATGGAAGACTTTTTCCTCTATCTGTAAATTTCTTGCAGAAACTCTGTGGAGTCATCAGTCATACCCCCAGCCCCTCAAGTTACCTGTCCTCAGTGTGGTGATAGCCTAGAAATAAACACAAAAATGTTGCAAGGGATTTTTCATCAGGTATTCACAGAACATTTGTTGGGGGTTTTTTTCATCGTGTTGTAGAAATATGGCAGCATTAGGTGCTCCAGAGGCAGGAGTACATGGGAATTTTTTTCCCAATGTGCTGGTCCACTTACATCTTGAAAGTGAAAGTGGGCAGGATCTCAAGTATGAGTCGTCACTGCTTCCTGGGAAGCTTCCAGCAACCGGGGGTGCCTGCTGATATGCTGCAGGAACAGGTTTCTCCTGGGGTTTGGGAGGGACTTTAGTCAATTAACTCAATTAACAAATGAATATGTTGATGCTGTAAAGTCTTGCTGTGTTTCTTGTGTGTGTGTATTACATTGGGTCACGCGGTCTGCCGGTGTAGCAGCGTTCTTGGAAATGCCTTAGCCGGCGTGTGGTATTCCTAGTGAGCTCTTTGGTGGAGCTAAGCTCTGTTATGTCAAATCACTTATAATTTTTCAATCCTTTTCTGTCTCGCTTTTTATTTCTGGTATTCTATTTTTGACTTGAGGCATCTTATTCTGCATGCCTTCTACAGGTCAGGAAATACCTGTGTTGTTTGAAGTATCTTTTCAGATATTTTCCTGTGGGTGGGTGTGAAGTGCAAAGACTTGCACTCATGTTTTTCTTATGATTTTTTCTTTTGAATTCGTGTATGCACAGGTGTGTGGCATTAGGGATATGGAGTGCTAATGTGGTTTTCACCCACCTGAGAGGCAGTGTGAATAATTGCAACCCCTAGACCCTGTTCTTCTGCAGATTTGGTTACATTTTTTCCAGTTTATATAGTGGAAAATGCTAGTGTGTAGATTACCAAAAAATACAAGTTCCAGTTCCTATCCACTAATCCTGTTCAGATTTCTTCTCCAGAACTGCTTTTTGTAGTGTTTTCCCTGGAAGAAGATGGGAATGCTGCTTTTGAGTAACCTACGAAGACTCTTAATTTGAGTTTAGTTGTATTTTGTTAAGTGAATCATGTCAGAGTTGATAAAGTGGAATAACCTGGGAAGGAAAGATGAAATATGGCACCATTTCAAGTTATAGAAAGCACTTGCAATACTAAATCTTAGCTGGATTATTTCATGTTCAGTGATGGAGGATTGGATGCAGGAAACGGGAGAGTGATGCACAGAAACATGGCAACTTGGAAAGTGCTTTTTCTCAGTTCTGAGAAAGCGTTTCAGGTGCTGGGAAATTTGCAGAGAGGTATGAAGGAGGATGTTTGTCCAGTGTGGAAATGGATTTGTTAGTGGTTAAAGCGTTAATGCTTGATGGTTCAGAGGCAGTGAGGAGGAAACCATGAGAAGTAGGAGGAAAAATGCTTAGTAGAGTATCAGCCCCTCATGTGAATTTCACCCAGAGATGAAAGGGCATACTTTTTGCTTTTTTTCCCAAACTGAAGACAAAATGCTGCTTTGATTTTGCTGGCATGTTCTGTCCTTCTTGAGTGCAAGCTTTCTAGGATGAGGACTGCCTTACCTTCCTGCAGAGGACCTAGAAGAAAAATCTAAGGCAATGATGTCCAACGTTTTTTATGACACACCCTGTCATTAAAAAATTTATGAGCGCTCATCTCCAACATATTTTTACTTCTAAATTTTATGCATATACTAATAGGTATGTTATAAAGCATACACAAAACAAAAATTAAAGAAGGATGAGAGAAAGGTTAAGTAAACACTTTTATTTTTTCAACATTTTTTTTTCAATGATACCAAAACCATTTTCTTCCTGCACTTTAACGGATTCTCTTGTGTACCCTACTTTGGACACTACTGATCTGAGGTCTCCTGTATTGTAGTTTAAATAAATTTTCCAGTTGCCCAGTAGTAACTCTTTATGTTCTTTTTGTTTGGTTGGTTGGTTTGGTTTGGTTCTTTTATAAGTTTGTACTGTTTTCCTAGCTGCCATTTCCACTTCTAAAAAACAGGGCATCCTGTTGTGATTATGGTCCTAGCCTGACCCCAGGTCTCTGGCTGCCAGTGGTCTGTTGCTCTTCCAGGCATGGTCTCGCTGGAAGACGACAGCTCAGAGCTGAGAGTTGGAAGGGGAAAGCATTTAGTTGTTATCTTTAACTTGCCATTAAAAGGTAAAGTCATTAAAAGGTAAAGTCTTTGTGTATAGTATTAATAATGTTAAAGTAGGTTTATTTTGTAGTTGAGGATCCAGGTAAATCTTTAGCTCTACTGTAAGCAGCGAGAGGTCGGCTCCTGCTCAAACTTCTTCCATTCTTCCTTTATAAATTTACTTATGCTTTTTAATATGAGGTTCATAAGAGATGTCCAGCTCTGTAAGGCTTTCAACTGCTAATGAGTGATATTGTCTCTTTCCCAGGATTACTACGGAATTACATTCCCTGCTCCTGCAACCCTGACAGGCAGAGATGGGAGCCTTGCTAACAACCCGTACTCAGGTGAGTGCTATTTGAAGATGAGGATGGTGAGTGAGATCTGCTTTCTAAATGCAGGTCCTCCTGCCATTGCTGAAAGGGCAATTATTTTTCCCTTCTGTGAGCCGTTAAACCCATCAGTCCAAACTAGTCAAACTAAAGCGAGCATCGCCCTCTCAGCCCTGACATAGATGTGTCTTCATGGTCTCTGTCAGTAATTCATATGTGACTACTTGTCACAGAATCATAGAATCATGGAATGGCATAGGTTGGAAGGGACCTTAGAGATCATCTAGTCCAACCTAGATGATCTCTAAGGCTTCTGGGATTAAGTTGGATAGCGTTTGAGAATAAGCACCAATTTGTTATGAATGTAGACAGCAGTGTCATCTAGTGCCCTTCCCGAGCACAGGCAGGTGCTTGAAAAATTTTCTATAGCTTAATCATTCTCCTTCAAATTCCGCTGCCTTGCTTTTTTTTTTTGGCACTGGAATAGATGTCCCTCAGCAGCTCCTCACACGTTATTAGTGCTATTTTAGCACCTGTGTGTTCCCTGCAGGAGCTGCATTCAGCAAGATCTCCCCCACGCTTCCCAGATCTAACGGACTTCATCCCCCAAAACATGTGATTTAAGAACCCTTTTCTAATTCCTGCTCTTGCTCTTCAGTTATCGTTGTGCAAAGATGACGGTAATGCAATCTAGGATTTTCAGCCAGTGGTTTTCATCCACTGCCATCTGATTACACCCTAAAACTGTAGCCATAGGTGTTAAAATTCCTATAATGATGGTATTAGGTGTTGTCATACTTCCTGGTAACAAACAAAAAGGAATACTGGTTGAGAATGAGATAGATGTGACTGATGTATGTCATCTCCTTAAAAAACACATGAACGTGCTGCTCTGTAGGTTACCAGAAAATACAAGTGTTCGTGCGTTTTCTGCTTCATAATCAGTTATTGGGAGGCTGCTTTGGGATCAATAATCAAATTTCCCTTCCTACTTCTTCAATAAGGTGGCCCACGATGCAAGCCTTGCTTTCCTGGCCTTCAGCTACTGTCTCAAGAACTCTGGTGGTGTGAGGAACCAGACATCTAACTAGTTGTGCTTGACAAATAAACGGACTTTGACAAAAATATGCCCATCACTGCCTGTAAATCCTAATTCGCTTTCAGCCCACGAAGCTTAGCTAATCAGTTTAACCTTCAGAAGAGTCACACTTTAACCCAACAACCATTTGCTCTTTGGCTATTTACCATACTTCTGCTTTTAGCATGTTTTATTGCAATGTAGTAATGACCCTACTCAGACCATGTGAGACAGGTAAGTATCGGTATCTCCATTTTATTGATGGATTAACCGTGACGTGGAGTTCTGTGCCACCAACAGACAATGTCCCTGTGGCCATCAGGAACAGAGATTGGGAGATCACTTCCCGTGAACAACTGCGGGTTTTCAAGTGTAGGATATGCTGTCTTCTGTAGTTGCCTACTTATATTCAGAGGATTTGAGTCCTCCACTTTTAGAGTAGCTTTGGTAACTTATCTGATCAGTTCTTTTTTTTGCAGGTGATGTTACAAAATTTGGCCGCGGGGATTCTGCCTCACCTGCTCCTGCTACCACGCTCGCCCAGCCGCAGCAGAGCCAGACGCAGACTCACCATACAACCCAGCAGCCCTTCCTCAACCCGACCCTGCCCCCGGGGTACAGCTACACTGGGTTACCTTACTATGCTGGTGTGCCCGGCGTACCCAGTGCATTCCAGTACGGGCCAACCATGTTTGTAAGTGTGACAGCCTGAACTGTAACCCTCCCTTTCTGCTGCTCTGGTTTTGCTCTCTCCAGCACAAACCTTCTATGTCTTGGAATCACAGAATGGTTTGAATTGGAAGGGACCTTTGAAGATCATCTTGTCTAAACCCCCTGCCATGGGCAGAGATGTCTTTCACTAGATCAGGTTGCCCAGAGCCCCATCCAACCTGGCCTTGAACACCCAGGGAGAGGGCTTCCACGGCTTCTTTTGGTCAACCTGTTCAGTGTTTCACTACCCTTGTAAAAAATTTCTTCCTTACATCCAATCTAAATCTACCCTCTTCCAGTTTAAATTCTTTGTCCTGTTACTACAAGGCCTGGTAAAAAGGGGTTTTTTTTTCCATCTTTCTTGTAAGTGCCCTTTAAATGTTGGAGGGCTGCAGTAGAAGGCTTCCCATGGAGCCTTCTCCAGGCTGAACAACTCCAACTCTCTCAGCCTCTCCTCACAGGGGAGGTACTCCAGCCCTCTGACCATCTTTTTGGCTTCCTCTGGACTTCCTCTAACAGGTCCATGTGTTTCTCCTACTGAGGACCCCAGAGCTGGATCCAGTACTCCAAGTGAGCTCTCATGAGAGCAGAGTTGAGTCATCTTCCCCAGTCTGCAAAGGGTCTCTAAAAATGTGCAACCATGAGAAAATAGCTTCAGTCCCTTCTCCAAGAAAAGAGGAAATTTAAAAGGCCAGAACTCATGGACTCCTGCACAGGTTACTGTAATTAGCAGGCAGCTGCAGTTCATGAGCTCCTGTTCCTGAAAGCCCTTACTGGTCTCTGCAGAGTCAAGCAGAGCCCCAAAGCTGAGTTAGCAAGCTGAGAGTGCCTAGGAAATCCTTTTGTGGGTGGAGGTGACCCCATTAAGTCAGTGAGCAGTGCTGGTAATCTCAGGAGGAAGAAGGGTATCTGGGAAGAGGTGATGCTCCAGGCAGAAGGGTAGATGAGTCTAGTTCAGAGCCCTGTAGGACAGTGTTTTATGAAACAGCCTCACTCAGGAACTGGCGTTTGATTTGATTCTGGAGGGAGAGCATGGTGTGGTTGCTCCTTCTCGGATTTGTGGGCGAGAATTTGCTGTTTACAGTCAGTGCATGAAAGAAGTATGCAGCCTGTTCTGAGACAGGGTTAAAACTGCAGAGGAGCAGCTCTGGCACAAAACTTGGGACTTGCACAAATCTGCTACAGCAAATTACTGCTGGAAGCATGAATGCCATGTCTAATGCCATCCCAGAGCCCCCAACACCAGATTAAATTTCCCAGGTGAGGTGAAGGAGCCTTCCCCACTAGATGGCATAGGGAGCTTGTTTTGTGTGCCGTTCCCCATTAAAGTCTCCTTTTTCCCCTTCCTTTATCCAGGTACCTCCAGCATCTGCTAAACAGCACGGAGTCAACCTGAACACTGCGTCCACTCCTTTCCAGCAAGCGAGTGGCTATGGGCAGCACGGCTATGGGGCAGGTATGCTTACCACTGCACTTCTCACACAAGCATCGGCAGAGCTGCTTGCACACTGTAACACCTTGTCTTGTACACACCGGCAGGCTATGATGACTTAACGCAGGGAACGGCAGCTGGAGATTACAGCAAAGGAGGCTACAGTGGGTCATCTCAAGCACAAAACAAATCTGCTGGCACTGGACCTGGGAAAGGTAACACATGAGACTTGAGGTTGTTCTTGAGTGGGATTTAGTAGGGCAAACTCCCAGTGTTGCCAGTGCTGTGCGGTCGACACAGCAGCCAGCTCTGAAGAGGGTCATGATCCAAGCTGTTTCTCCATCTCCCGTATGTAAAATGCTTTGTTAATGGCCCGAGTATTCCTTCTAAACCTAAGCAGTTTGATGCTGCTGCTCAGATGGTCCTCTGCCAAAAAATTACTAGATTTTGAGTTTCTTGGTAGGCACCTGAGACAGCCATGTTAGGGGGGAGCAGGGCAGTTCACACATCTCTGGGCTGTTGTTTCAGCTGCTGTCCATATACCTCTGAACTCATCGCATTGTTTCATGCCTGGAAATGTTTCCTGTGTGACTGTAAAGGCTGAAGAATTTATACAGCTTACATGAAAGCTTTGTTCTGCACATGCTGGTTAAACCTGGGAAACCTATACTGAACTGCTTAGCACTAACTAGTTTGTCCTTGGGCTTAAGCAAATACCAGGCATTTGCTGTGCATTTGAAACATCAGCTGGACTGTAGTCAGCCAAGAGCTGATCATGCTTTCCTCTGTGAAGGAGCGATCAAAAAAAGGAGCAGTGTCCTGGGAAGGGTACAGCCTTAGAGCAGTACAAAACTTTCATGAGCCCAGTCCTCTGATTAAGACTGTGAATAAGTGGCTTGTTTGAGATCCACCTTGCTGGTGGATGAATGTTTCTGATCTGTTTTGGCACCAGCTGGTCCAGGTGGAAGTCAGCCTGTATTGGTGATGTTAATTCTTTCAGGACAGAGGAGCATTGCAGACCTAACTGATCTGCAGGATGCAAAAGGACAAGGGCTCAAACATGTAGCAGATGCGGAGTCTCATTGCCAGTGCTCTGCTGGAAAGCTCTTGAATGCTGCAGTAGAGCCAAATGCTTCCCTAATCCTAGGGAAAAGCTGGCTTTTCACAAGCTTAAGTAAGTGTTCGGTGCAGTCAGCTGCTGCCTGGTGAAATGCATTCGAATCCAAGCGGTAGCTTCTGAGTTGTGGATATAGATGATTTATCTCAGTGAGCTGGTTTCCTGCTTTGCAGTGAGAGTGAGGAACTGACCCCTTTCTGCTGTTGCCATGTGAGGTGCTGTGGGTCTGAGAGCAGAGAACCCTGCCAGGCCGGCCGTCAGCTGCGGATGAAGGTGCATCCGCCAAGGCCACCAGAGATGCCAGGAGCAAAGCATGGGGCTCATGCTGGTTGGCTGTTGACTTTCTCATTGTGGGTAGCCTTTTTTTGTTTTCCAGGTGTTTCTGTGACCTCAAGTAACACAGGTGTGCCTGATATCAGTGGCTCAGTCTATAACAAGACTCAGGTGAGCAATGCTGGACGC